CTTCACGCCGCTTCATCGTAATCCTTTGGCATGGGTACCTACCGAAGAAAAGGATACAGGCTGTGAGGAAGTAAGAGCAGAGTCTAATAAAACAATTGTCTGAATGACAGTAAGTCATAAAAATTAAGTAATGATGCCAACGACAACAGTAAATATTCCTTCGCCATAAAAAAGCGAATGCCAACATTGTTTCTACACAACCCATCCATTTGTTTTGATTCCATAAATAATAATATCACCTGCAACGTCGACTAGTGCAGGTGTAGAGGAAAGGATGCTGACAAGCTACGAAAGTTCACATCTCCTGTACTTATTCGACAGTTTAAAGGTAGCATCTGTAAAACACAATAAAATATTGATCTTCAAAATTGAACGAAAAATATTCAAAAAGCGATCCCAGTCTGCCGCAGCCAAGCGAAGTCGGCATGCTTGAAGGCTTTCGTAATCACTGGCAAGTGCGATACGTTTCATGATTCGATCAGTCAGATGATTAACTCAACGAGATTACTTCTATTGGCAACCACTAAGAACTGCGCGTACCAGGATTTTGCAAAAAGTACGGAAGATACAGTTTCATCAAATCTACTAAAGTCTAATGACTGTATGTATTCATAAGTTATTTTATTCCAAGATCGAACGATAACTACTGGAAGATTTTGAAATAGTTCGTCTAAAGGAGACGACAGTACAATTGGAACTGCACCCATAATGATTGCTTCCCATGTACGATGACAGTCAAGGCGTTGTGTGATAAGTACAAACGAATTATTTATCATAAGTGATAATGAGATAAAAGTGTTCAGTAAACCTGTTTTTAAAAATATAATGTCACCATTTTTGATATTTCGAATAATACTCGGCCAAGTAGCGGTGTGTTAACAGTTTCATCGAGAATATGATCAGCCATCGCACGATATGTATCACCACTTATATGTGGATAAGCAGCGAGCTGGGGTAGAATATCGAAAAAATAGTTTTATTGTTCGATTTTTGGTAAATAAATTCCACAATGGTGAACCTTCTTTTATTACTAACGGAATATCGGAAAAGTTTGAGATACTTGTCTTGTAGAATTTCGTAAAGGAAAGATATGTGGAGTTGCCTTGGCTGTGACTGGTAGTAGAATAATCCTACGAAAAACATTGATGTATACAATGAAGCTAGTAACAAAACAGCAGACAATAATCTTCAGTTTTGATACCAAACCGAACTTCATTCATATTAACGCATGTGTATTACAGAAATAGAAAAGCATATTTTTAATCTCGTTGACATGGAAGATGATCAGGACGCGAATCTTATCGTATCACCTGAAATTTTCTAGGAAGGAAGGTTAAAGATGCGTTTGAAATATTCAGTCGCTTTCCTTTTATCATATATGATTCAATATTTTCATGGGTACCATTATATTATGATTCAATACAGATTTCATGGTTACCACGTAAGATTTCCAATAAAATCCATAAAAGTGTGAGTATGAAATCAGCATGTACGCTCTTAGCAAAATAAAATGAGCAAAAAAGAAGCGTCTTAATACATCAGAAATCACTGGAAAAAAACAAAATGTTGTTAAGCATTTGGCACTAGGGATCAGTATATTTCCAGCAAGTCAAATGACCTACTAAAATGTAATCTTGAATCTTGAGCTCATGTTTGATCATGTTTTAAGCAAGGGGTGAATTATTTAATTGGATTGTTAGAACTTCATACACGTGTTCTTTCTAGACAGCCGTTAGATTTAGTGTATAAGTCTTTAGTATGGAACGTGTTTACCTAACATTTTTTAACAGTACTATTCACGTAAGGTTATATGAACTTCACAGATGCAATTACAGTATATAGGAGTGAATTGCAACGTTTTGGTACGATTGACGCTGAAAAATTGAAGTGTTTTTATGTTTTTATAGGGAAAAGGCCAAGTTTAAAGGACTTATATGCATTTTCTATACATCTTGAGTTTATTTTCATACATAGTACTAAGAAAACAGTTATAAAAAAAGAAAAACACAGCAAAAGTAAAGTTATCTATACTCTTATTCTCTATTTAACACTTGTTCATATATCATCTCATCAAACAACAATCGTTTTAATTTTCGGGATAAGTTAAAAATCAAGTTTTAAAAGTTTTTCTTTTTCGCTTGACACTGTCTTGGCATAGAATTTTCCATCTTTTCAATCATTTCATGGAATGTTGCAGTGCCTTTTACTGTGTTGAGCTCTGGTATATTTTTTAAATTTGATATATTTGTTGTATCATATAGATATAATTTAATATCTGTATTGTTTCTTGTACCATTGATGAGATCTAATGCATTTGAAAATGCATTATCAGGATTGAATGCCACAATCTCATCAAATTTACGTTTTATTGCAGCTCCTCCTATGCCATCAGCAACGCCTGTGTTATGACCAGATTCCAAAAATATCCATTTGATATCAATATCATAATCAATTGCAATCTTTTTTTGGTACACTTTGTTTTGAAAGATCAATACGAAATTTACATCTGATTTGTTCTGTTGTACAACGAGGAAGACTTTCTTTTTTATCTTTAAGACGTAATACAGCACGTTGTTTGGCATTTGGACTAACATTATCAAAAAAAACTTTCGATAGTGAATCACAATCTCATGAAAGGTGAAGTCCGCATAAGAACAGCAATCGGCCTACTAACAATAACTGCTCCAATTAGTCTGAACCTCATTAGAATCACATCCGATTATCATATTCGATCATTTAGACCCTTCCGAGCGCTTTCAGTCGAATATACCTGACAGAATCTACTCGAAAACAAGCAATGATTTAGCACCAACAGGATGACTGTAAAATCAACATTTCTCAGTAACCATCCTATATTAAGCCTAGCACAATACATTATTCGACGCGCCATGAAAATCTCTACAATATGTGTTAATAAGAAACTTAATGAAGTGGGGCAGCATGTTTTATGAGCTGAATACTAGACTTTTCCATCTGTCGTGACTATACCATGGGAACTCTTTGTCACTTTTTCTATGAAACTAAAGAGGATCTCTAATCATTCATATATCATTCGATAGTTTTTTTTAGTAATAGACGCACCTGAACTGTAAATATATAATCATCACTCGAGGATTTCTTCTCTTCTACGTAAGACCGTGCTTGTTTGACTTGGAATACACCTTAATACATAAGTTAGAAGCAAATAGAACATACTTAAGTGAATAAACCTCGTGAGGTAATGTACACTCACCTAAAGCTAGTTCTCGAATATCATCTTCTGACAG